AGAAGTCATAGCATTAGTTCAAATTTGGTACAGAAATCACGATAGTTCGAAATTCCTGTAGCTTACGGCCGTATGGCGGAACAAAAGATTTTGTATATTGACTCCCTCACGAAAATCCCGCGAAAAGCGGGCAAAATAAGTATGCATATGCAAATGGTCATACAGCATATATTTTTGGGCTACAAATTCGAGAAAAGACTCCGTTCACGACATGGTGCATCTGCGGGGAAGCGGCCAAAGCTGGCAAAATCAGCAGTCGCGTTGGAGTCCTTCGGTGTGGTCTGGCTGCAGCATCTCTGTGGCGGAAGTGTCTCAGAAGTCCCGCGAAAAGCTGGCAAAAGAAGTATGTGTATGCAAGTGGACATACAGCATGTATATATATGGGCTCCAAATTCGAGAAAGGACTCCATTTGCGACAGGCTCCATGTTTATTGTTTTCGAACACTACACGTATATTATAAGAATTGTAAATTATCTTTGATCAGCTGTTTTTTTTTTTCGTGGCATTTATTCTCGCCATTGATGCAGCTGGCAACTTCCTTGCTGTTTTGTTTCTGTCGTTGAAATAAATCTAAACTCCCTTTCTCTGTCTCCCCCTCTGTTGTTTCAGCTTTTAGTAAAGCAATTTCAAATGCCCTAGTAAAGGCCTTCGAGGGAAAAGCATAGCCTTGCTTCAGGCCTCTATCAATTTCCAATTTAATAGAGCCATCGAAAAAAAATGTTTTTCATGTAGGATTTTTTTATATTATTTTCCAACAGTTCATTTGAATAGAATTATACTGCAAGTAATATGAAAATCATAGTCACATTGGTTGTACTGATAAAGCCCATTTGTGGTGCAGAAGTGGGATGGATGCATATACTGCCAGCTGCAACGAAACACCCTTTCATATTATTACACCTCCTGACAAGTGTACGTTAGCTACATCATCAAATTCATTGCTTTAATTCGATCAGTATATTAAAATTTTCTCTGACTCATTTGCTAAAGTGGCCTGCTAATTCAACAAATTCAAATACCTTTTCGAATGTCCAGTTCTTTCGTCAACGCTTCCACAGCATGAAAACTGTCCTTGTTTGTTAAGTCGAAGCAAAGCACGAAAAATGCACTGGGATCGCAAATTGGCCTAACAAGCCAATAGTACAGTTCGTGCCCAGCTGTATCAACCAAGACAGTGTCCACAGTGTGGCCATCAATGACAAACGTCTTGTCGTGCAGCTCTATTCCCTGAGTCTGAAAAAGTGGGAGAAATTTTGATGATTTTTAATTTTACACTTTTTCCCTCAATTCTTTTTTCTGCATATCTTTCTCAAAATTTAGTTCAAATGTGCTGTGGATACTGGGAAGAGCTTACCATTTCGTAGTCTTTAGTGGTGAAATTGTATTTTCCAGCCAATATTTTTA